TACTAATGGACCATAAGTTGATAATTGTTGAAGCTACGTAACAGGTACACAGGGTTTATTGCTCTCTTCTCTATAAAATAAAAGGTTAAAAAGTACAGGATTTTAGTCAGACCGCCTAGGTTCAAAATCCAAATATGTCACTGACTAAGCTTTGTGACCCTGTAGAGCTACTCAACCTCTCTGTATATTAGTGTCATTGTTTATAAAATGAAAATAATATAGCAAAACCTAAATAGTAGTATTGTTGCAAGGACTAAAGTACAAAGCACAAGTCAATATTAAATATTATACTTCAAAGAAACTGAAATCATAAAATCACAGTTCTTAGTGTATTTAAGAATAGTCTACTTGCGTTCCTTATCTAACATAGGAAGCAAACTAAAACTAATGATCACCAAAATGTCCAGTGGTAAACCAGAAATCAACTGTAGATCTCTTGACTTCCAGTCTTGACATTTTTAAAATTATATTTAAAGGGCAGGTTTATTAGGGAAAGGGCCAGAAGAATAAAGGACACTTGTATAGACACAAGCAGGAAGGAAGAGCTGCCCCAAAAGGGACAGGTTTGCTCAGAGAGGCCTGGATGGTTGCAGGTGGCCTTAAGGAGAACTTGAGGTGAGCGGCCTCCGCTGAGGGAGGTCAGTAAAGAGAAGTCTCAGCATGGTACAGGTCACAGGCAGGCAGGAAGCTGCTGCCCTGCAGATGGAGAGAGTTGGTCAAAAAATGCACCTGCATAGTCATAGGTGAGCAGAGGGATTGTTGCCTTGACATCTTTTTTACAGTAGGTCATCACTGAAGAATTTGCAAGTATTTAAATAATCTTGTCTTAAATAGGAATACTCAAAATTCCAAGTAATTTTTCTCTGTTGCTCAGATTTTTTGCAGTTTAAAAGAAAATTTCAGGTTGTTCTTGTTGTGTGTTTTCTGTGAGAAAGAACTGAGAAACTTGGATCAACAGTGAATCTAAACTCATCTGGAGGAATAAAACCAATTTAATGAATATTAGGAAAATTTTGAGAGAATAAAAGAGAGAATACATAGTCCACCAAATATTTTAAAATATTGTATATTATAATAATTAATTTTGTGGTTCTGGCCCAAGAGTAGACTATCAGTAAAACCACTTAATATCTACAAATAAACCCCGAAGAATACATAGCATTTAATTGTTTTAGCAAAGGGAAAAATATCAATTTAATAGCATACATATGAACATGGTTTAGATGGCTGTAGTTCTAAAGAATAATGCAGTAGACTAGGTATATTTATCCTATGTTTAGGGACCTGGGACATCAGGAGAGAAAGGAGACTCCACATGACAGACAAGGAGAGGGGGGTGATTACTTCATCCTTACCCTGAAAGTAAATACAAGATTCTTAGATTGAGAGGACTTGTTCACTGATAAACCTATAGCTGAATGAGATAGATTAAACTACATTCCACTAGGTATCTCTTCTTCAGATAGGGAGGGGCAAAGGACAGAAGCTACTCCTACCCTTCAGGACCCTCACTGCTCTCAACCCAAAACAAGCTAAGTAATCATAGCTAACTCAGTTGAGCCTAATAGACCAGTGCCTTTGTCTTGAGAATATTTCAGTCCAATTAGACAGTTGTGTCTGTTTTGTAGAGGTAGTTCTATAGGTGAGTACAAGCAATAATAAGCATATCTATGAAAACAAAAGAAAATAATGAAAAATAAAGAAAAATAGGTTAGTGTGTGACCAAAAACTACCTAAGGACCCCAGATCATTAAGGGGTGCATGTTCTAAAAGGAATTCAGCCATCTGTGTACAAAAAAGCAAAGGAAACAGACTCTGAGTTTGATAGAATTTTGGTAGAATTGGTGGGGGAAAGGGGGGAGAAGGACCTCCAATAGTTTTCCAATAAAACTCCCCTAAATTACCCATCTCCTTATGGGCAAATGCCCAGTCTAGCAGGCTTGGCCTGAAGTAGGCCACTGAGACCTGAAAACTTGGTACAAGTTTAAGGTACCTTCTGGCAGGGAACCACAAGTAGTGGGTTAGGAAGGTCCCAGAGAACTGGGATAGAAGGAGAGACTCAAAAATCAAAATTTACCACATTAAGGGCCTCCCCAGTGGCGCGGCGGTTGAGTGCTGGGCTGCGAAGCTGCCCGCAGCCTCTACAGCTCTGGTTCAATCCCCGGCCGCTGGGCAAGGGTCCCACATGGTGCGCAGACCTCTCCTGCCACCCGCTGTTCCCCTCAGCAGTGTACTTCATCACTCTGCCTGTTCTGCTTCCGCTCCTGCTCTGGCTGTGGTGAATTCTCTCACCCTCCCACGCTTCTGACTGTACCCAGTGCTTGTATAAATAAATAAATCTTGAAAAAAAATTTTACCACATTAAGATAATAGTTGCCATTGTTTCTGTTGAGAACCAAGAGCAGCCACCCTCATGTCTCACCCAAGGGTTTCTTCCAAGTATCTATTTCGGTCCTCCAGGTACTGGGGGCAACTTGAAGCTGGAAATGCCAGAGAGCAGAAGCACACACATGTTCATTTATGAGTCAAGCATGGCTGTTTAACTCTTTCCCTAGTTCCCAGCAGCTTCCCATTCAGGAAGTCAGGTTCATGGCATGATGGGAGTTGGGATCACTGACACCTGAAATCTCTTCTCTGTGGAGATGGGAATCTGTAAAAATGTCAGGAGACAGAGTTTTTAGTACATTATTCATAGCTCAGAGCTTGCTCCTTATTGTTCCTCTAACAGATTAAAGCAAACTAAACATCCAGTTGGGAGTCCCATGGGACACCAATCAGGAAAATTTTCAAGATATCTAGGTTCCAAATATCTTCAGATAAGGGTGAGACCGGCAAACTGGTTTCCTTGTTTGCAGTTTGATGCCATCAGATAGTAAGGAAAACAGTGGTCATGAGGATTGCCTACACATACTTTTTTTTTAAAGATTTATTTATTTATTTATTTATTTATTTATTTATTTATTTATTTATACAAGTACTGGGTACAGTCAGAAGCACGGGAGGGTGAGAGAATTCACCAGAGCCAGAGCGGGGAGCAGAGCAGGCAGAAGGACCGAAGTACACTCCTGAGGGGAGCAGCGGGCAGCAGGAGAGGTCTGCGCACCATGTGGGACCCTCCTCCGGTGGGCGGGGAGCAGCCGGGGATTGAACCGGTGCTGCAGAGGCGCGGGCAGCTTCGCAACCCACTGCTCAACCGCTGCGCCACCGGGGAGGCCCCTACGCATATTTTGATGATCTCTCTCTCTCTGAAGTTAATAAAGTTTTCCATTCCCAGCTTATATGGTTTCAGAAAAAGGACAGAAGAGTACATAAAATTTTAATATTAAAACTATTTCAGATCAGCTACTCATACTGGGATACTGGAGTTGCCATTTAGAAAAATAGAAAGTTTTAACACTCAACCTCAGTGAAGTTCAGGTTGCTTCATAGACATACTAAAAAAAAATGTAACTGAATATTTTTAGTAGTATGGAAACTTAAAATGGAAAACCTTTGGAGTAGGAATAATAAAATGCAGATGCCAGAAAAGAGAAGACTTACACATTTTACCACATACAGATTTAAAACTTTGGTACAACAGGTACCTTAAGTTAAAAGACAAAAGAAAAAGCCAAAAAGAAGTTTTGGGATCTGGTCAAGAGCCAGAAATCACAACAGGAATTTGAACAAGGAAATTTAAGAAATAAAATTTAATATGAAGGATTATTAATTACTAAAAGATGTTTACTACAAAGGATAAAATAGGACACTAAAGAATACAGAAATAGTAAATAAAAGGATCAATTACTACCTCTAGAACTGAGGGAGAAAATTCAAAAACAGAGCTTGGAAGAGGACATCTCTTTCCAAGGCTGCAGTTCAGACCTTAGAGAGAATGTAGCTGCTGCCAGAAGATACAGCCATGAGCAAAGATGGTCTACAGGAAATTACATGCTAAATGCCACAGTCCTGAGCTACTGTGTAGAAAGTTGCCTACTGTGGAATGCCAATGGCCTGACTGAAGATGAGCAGGAAGTTGTCTGCTGGAGTGCCATGAATCAGAACTGGTATCCAATGGAATACTATGGATCAGAAATGGTGCACAGAAGACAACTTGCTGGAATAAACTGGAGAAACTTGCTTGATACTGAGAAGGAAATGCATGACGTGAACACCAATTAATCTCCCACATACCTGTGGCTGCCACACCATAAGGGTGCAAGCAGAGCACATCCCAATCTGAAATACAAATCCTTTCCTCTCCAGTGTCAAACATGGATCCTTAAGAGCCCTTGTCCAGGATGTTGTACAGGACATTGTAGAATTGAGTGGGCAGTCCTACTTTGTCCCTTCAAATTCAAAATCTTAATCTGTTATGTTTGTGATTTAAAACTTTGGGGCAGAAGAGAAGATAAATAAAGGAATAATTGGGCTTTTCAACACGCTAACTTTTCCTCAAAGATCCTATCACGTTCACTCTTTCTCCTACCCTTAAAACCCATTTTAGGTTACAAGGGATGTTACTAGTGAGAATGTATTCTGTGAGTGTACTATTTAAGACCGCTGTTATAACATTTGCATTGTTGTTGTTGTTTTGTTGTTGTTACTAATTAGGCTGACTGAAAAGGAAGATAATAGTCTTTTCAACTCTTTGAGTTTTAATTATGAGCTTTTCAAAATGGTATAAATCTTAGTGAAGTAGTCTCTAATATTCCTTTTTAAACAGTTTAGATTATTCACAGTTTTAATTTCTTCATATAGTCAACTTAGAAAATTCTTCTAACAGGGAAACTGAGAGATTATCTTTATAATTATTCTTTGAGTTAATTCATCCAGAGTATCAATTTCTAAAGATACTATGTTCCTAACATATTGAAAACATGTGTTTATTATATACTTCTGTAAAAATGTGTGAAAGTCTCAAATAAGTAAGTCTTGTAATTTAAAAAATTGCTTGAATTATGAATATGTAATATGAATTTTTATTTTCATTAATACTTAATTTCTTTTCTCTTTCAAAGTGCAACCTGAATTCCTGAAGCAACCTACTAATATATATGCTCACGAATCCATGGATATTGTATTTGAATGTGAAGTGACTGGGAAACCAACTCCAACTGTGAAGTGGGTCAAGAATGGGGATATGGTTATCCCAAGTGATTACTTTAAGATTGTAGTAAGTATTTTTCAAAGGACACTTACCTCTGAGATCTTTAAATGTAATCACCAAGAATTTAGTCATTTACATATTTATATATTGCAGATAAAGATAGAAAAGTTCGCACAAAATGTAATCTCTTCATTGAGGAAGAGAAAACTAAACCCAGAAATATTTTGATAACTTATATAAATCACATAGCAAACCAGTGATTGAACTAAGCCTGAAGTCCAGATCGCCTGACCAGCAATCTAGTACTCCTGCTTACACACAATGGCATCTTTAAACATAGCTGCCATCGTTTTCTGGGCAATGATTACCCCTCGTGTGTTTGTACACATGTGCATGCCATGTACCAATTTTTCTTCATAGCTCTCTAGTTAAGGGACCACAAATTTGTCCCTCATGTATAAATACCCATTCCCTTCAAGGTAAGTATAACCCAGTGCTGGACAATTGTTGTGACAGTAGATACAAAGATTTTTTTTAAAAAGTAAATACAAAAGTAAATGATTAATTTTAAATATATTTAAAAATACTTAACCATTATTGCTTTTTACTTTACATATAGTAGATGGTTTAGTAAATATTATCTACTACTACTTATATCATTATCTAACATCTTAGTAATAGTAATAGAATTATGTAGGCTTTAGTAATAGGGATTAATGGTATATTTTAAGATAACATACATGACCTTCATAAACAATCAGAGTCAGTAATTATGTTTGTTGAATGTCTCCTTTCAAATTCTCATGTAAGTATTTCACTCATGCTAGGAATATATTTTCTATTTTTTAAATACATATTCATGTTAGAAAAAATGATTTGCAAATATTTAATCTTATTAAAAATTACTTTTATGGCTAAATTATCAGTTTCACTTCATTGGTGTTTTCATAGTTCTTCTGATTTTTAAATTATATTATATCTAACAATAAAGATAGTTGACATTAATATAGTACTTTTTAGTTTAAGGAAAGCTGGTATATACGTGGCCTCATTTGATTTATTATAATCTAATCTACTAAAATATTAATGTTAAAAATAATCTTAAGAAAATGTCTAGAATTCACAAATCAGACTTTCACTTCAGTCACATGGTGTTGTATGGCAGACATTATTCCAAATAAAGCAGTTAAGTTTGCAAACATTGTGGGTATGACTTTCCATTTCAGTTAAGTTCTTTGTTTATGTCATTCTCTTAAGTTCTTGTCAATGACACTGTTTCCTGTTCTGGTCAAGTCAATACCTTGTCAAAACTATAATGTAAAATTGAGTTAGCAGGTAGATGGTGAAGTAATACTATTCAGTGATTTATTCACACAATTTTACTTGTTTTTCTTTCCCAGACAGAACATACCTTGAGATTTTCAACTAGTCAGCATTTGAATTATAAAATTTTATTTATATTTTTCTCCCTTAGAAGGAACATAATCTTCAAGTTTTGGGTCTGGTGAAATCAGATGAAGGGTTCTATCAGTGCATTGCTGAGAATGATGTTGGAAATGCACAAGCTGGAGCCCAACTGATAATTCTTGAACATGGTAAGAGGGACTGAAATGTCAAGATGAAAGAGACTGTGTGTTTGAGAATTAGTATCTATCACTTCAGTATATTTCATAACTAATGATCTATTGGTAAAGGCCAATATATGACATAACTGTGAGGAAAAAATAGCATTCTAAATCATTTCATTTGCATAAAGTGATCTAGAAACAATTTAGATAATGTTGAAAATTGGTATTAAGAAAAACTGACCTTCAGGATCATGCTCAGCGAAATAAGCCAGAAAGAAAAAGAAAAATACCGGATGGTCTCACTCATAGCAGGAATCTAGAAAACTTAAATAAGGGACCAGGAAAAAGAATAACTGTAAGAAAGAAAATATCAAAATCAACAAACAACTATGAACAAGAGACACTCTATGGGAGTGGGGGGCGGGGAAAGGAGGGATTGGGGTAAAAATAAGGGGGTTGTAATTGTATGGGGAATATAAAAACAAAATTTAAATTAAAAAAGGAAAAACTGACCTTCATAAACAACAATTATAGCCTTACACAATTGAATTTTTTTTTTAGATTTCAATCATTAATCTCACAAATATATTTCTACCTTATTTAGTTTGCATAGAAATTTTCAGTCTTTCAAAAATAAAATTAACTTGCCTTTTCTAGTTATCATCAAAAATACGTTTATTACAAATTCATACAACTTTGAAAATTCAAAAATTGGGAAGAACCTTGTTTCAGTCAGGGTCAGTCCAGGGGAAAATCACACAGCAATTTGAACAGAAACAAAACAGTTAAATACACTTTAATATAAAGAATTATTAAATTGGAGGGCATTTGATTAACTAAAATATCATATAAGATTTTTGTATGCTATTTTTAAAAAATACGCTTGAGAGTACTATTATAAAAATGCAAAATTGAACTTTTTCTTCCTATATTTGTCTGCCATTATACTTTCCCTATTCATTGAAAAGACTTAGTGAGGCATACGACTTTTCTATCTTGGCAAAATACCTCAGTTTGATTACCAAATAAGGCACTAACAGAACTAAAGTGAAGTAAATAGGTTTATTTCTTTTTATTAGTGACAGTGATTTTCATTAGTAAACTTTGTGACTCTCTTGAGGTTATTTTCATGGCAATCAATAAAGGAACTTAGGTATATTTGTGTTTGGGGTTACCATTGTAGGTTTCAATGGTCGGCTATGTTTGGCTGTCCCTAAACTCATCCTCATTTTAAAATGCTTGATGCCAAAATAATGATACTCATGGATGTGTGTTCATAAATTTTTGAGGCAACTTTTCAAAAACAGACAATGTTTTTGGGCTGGCAGATATTTTATTGAGCTTGTCATGGAAGCATTAAGGATGTACAGGTTATAGGAAGGAAGGTAGGTTCCATGCTACCAATTTTGCTTTCCATTTTACTGTTTTATTTAAATTTGCAAGGTATATGGGGAGATAAAACAGAGAGAACATAATTTATAAAGTATGATCTCTGCCTTTCTGGAGTTTATAGTATTTTAAAGGGTGTTAAGAGTTGTATATGACTTTAATACCAGTCCATAGTAAGTATTATTTTTATAGTACAAATAAAGCAGTATATAATGCAGACAAGAATAATTTTGTTTATTATTAGGGAGGTTTATTCATGAAGAGTGTCCTCTTTGTAATAGGCCTCAAATAATAGGATTTCTACATGTTAAACTGAGGACCTCGGTCATTATGGAAATAGGATCACTAGAGTACCTGTTTTTTAGGAAGGTGAATTATAAAGGCAGAAAAGGATACAATTGATAATGACCTTGATTATAAATAGTCAAAATAACAGTGTAGTAAGGCAGTCTGATAATGCAACTTTTATTAGAAGAAGGAAGGCACTATTTCGAGGTTATTTGGGCAACTAAGAAAGAGGGGATGCTTTACAAAAATAGAAAAGTGTTGTGAATTGAAGTGGAAGTGGACTTCTACTCAGAATGTAAATTTAAGCAAAAACAAAAGAAATATACTTTAATGTAAAGAATTTTTAAATTGAAGGGAATTGGAATAACAAAGGGTTAGTTAGAAAAAGTGAGGCAAATATAATGAATATAAGAATGAATATAAGAAGAAGAATGAATATAATGAATAGAAGAATATAAGAATCAGATATAAAGAGCAACCATACTGCTAGGACTAAGTGACAGTGTTCAGGACTAGGTCCCCTGAGGACTGAAATTCACACCTTGTTGGTGAGGAGGGTGTGGTCATCATTTACTAGATAACAGAGAAGTTGCTGTGCTACTGTGCAGTGCTGTCAAAACTTGCTTAAAAGTCACTGTCAGTATGCTGGTCAGAGCTCTTCACAGGGAGGTGTCGCTCCAAAAGCATTCTACAGACCCTTGAGGAGAGGTAGTATTATAAATGACTGAAACTTAAAGAACCTTCACAAAGAAACAAAACAGGCTATAGTGATTTAATATATATATATACATATATACTGCATACATATATACACATGTACATACATATATGTATAATTATCTTCTCTTATATCTTTTTTTTTTTTTTTTTTTGTGGGACTCTTGCCGGCGGCCGGGGAACGAACCGGCGCTGCAGAGGCTGCAGGCAGCCTCGCAGCCCAGTGCTCAACCGCTGCGTCACCAGGGGAGGCCCATCTTCTCTTATTTCTAATAAATGAAGAGACAATTGATTGTCTAAAGAGGGGCCTACAAACTTTTCCTGTAAAGGACTAAATAGTAAATATTTTATTTATCCTTTGTGGGCCAAATACTTTCTTGCGACAACTGTTTAGTTCTGCCATTGTAGCATGAAATCTGCCATGTAAATCAAACAGCCAGCACTGTTTCAGCAAAACTTCATTTACAAAAACAGATGGCAAGTTCTAGTTTGCTGACTTTTGGTCTAAAGAAATAGAACATACAAAATTAAAATGTGTGACAAAAAAGCAGAACAAAGTATGGTAGAATTGAGATCTATTTTAAGATTCTTGCATTACTGTCAAATCACATAAAACTATTTGAAGTATTCCATAAGTTAAAGGTGGATATTATAGACCTTAGGAATCCACCATAAAATAGAAAAAGGAATTTGACTAAATAAGTGAATAATGGAAATACCCTGGAATCAGAAACTACACTCAATATAAAAGTAGTAAGAAAAAAAGAAGAAAAAGGAACATAAAATAAATAGGACAAGTTAAAAACAACTAGCAAGATGGTATATTTAAATCTTCTTTATTAATAAGTACATTAAATGTAAATGATTCTGGACTGCAAAGCTAGTCACAACACATTTACCAGGATTTAAATCATCTAAAGTATGTTTGCTGACCTCAGCAGCATTAAACTGGAAATCAATAATAGATACTTGGAAAATCCTTAAATATTTGGAAATTAAACACCCTTATAATTATCCACATGTCAAAGAACAGATCACATAAGAAATGAGATACTGTTTTAAACTGAAAATGAAAAGGGAGCACATGAGTATTTTTAGAATGCAGCTAAACTAGTATTTTGAGAAAAGCTTTTACAAATCAGATCAGAAAAGAACAAATTAAAGCATTCAGAAAAAGAACATAAATAAATAAAATGGAAAATAGGCAATAAATGAAATCAAGAACTGGTTCTTTGAAAAGATCAATTAAATTGGAATATGTTTAACCAGGCTAAGAAAAACACAGATTGTCAGTATCAGGGATGAAAGGAAGAATATGACTACTGACCTACCAATTTTAGGAGGATATGAGGGAATGCTATGGACAAATTTATTTCTTGAAAAAAAGTAATAGATCTGATTTGTTGAAGAGAGGTTAAGACATCACTTTTAAGATGTGTGGAGGGTGGGTTACAGCAGAACACCAGAGCAAGATGGGTCCTCTCAGATGGTTAGGAAAAAGGTTGAGGAGGAAAGTAACTCATTTTGATTTTAATCCAAGATTCGAAACCAGCCTTCTCTGTTGCAACATGTATCTAATGTTGTTTTACTAGCTTTGCTGTTGTTTTTGTGTTAGTCTTCCACACTACTGAAAGTCAGATCCCTCAACCTCTCTTCAGTAAATGTAGTTATAAGGGACCATGTATTATCTAGTCTTGGATCTCTGTCTTTGGAGGAAGGTTGGTGATCCAGAATTTATCACTGAACGTCTTCTTGAAGATCTCCATAGACATCATCTCTAGTGAAATTTTCATATGGTTTTTGCTATGTGTTTTCTACTTATAGTCAAAACTTTCATCCTTGTTTATACCTTAAGCCATCACTGTTTTCTGAAGACTTACACCTCAATATCTAGAGAGCACATACTCCCTTACTGTGTTTTTTCCTTCACATCAATTCCAGTGAAGTACCTGTTCTGCTGATTTTTTAAAAACTTGTCTTTAATCTCAGTCTAATGCACTTCATTTGAAAAATAGATGGTTTAAATAAAAGAAGCTGGAAAAAGAAACTTAAGAGCAGAAATGTCACAGGGCAGGGAGAGGGGCACCCCAGAAGCCCACTGTAAATAGGTTCTGCCATCCTCCACATTAAGACAAAACGTATAAGACCTTTAATGGAAAGGAACTTTAATACAATTAGTGAACAATACAGAAAAGACAAAGAATATGGTTTCTAAGTCAAGCACCCAGTTTACCTGTCCCCTCATAGGTAAAAGCCCATCCAGACGGGATTGGCCCAGAGCAAGACTCGAAAGCCTGCCACAAGTCTAAAGCACCTTCTGGCGGGGACCCATAGAAAAGGGTCAGAAACAGCCAGACAAGTCTGGGAGGAAAAGAGCAAAGTCAAAATCAAGATAAAAGCTGCCATTGTTTACCTCCCCATGGGTCTTTCACCCACATCTGTTTCACCCAGCCCAGGACCAAAAGGCAAATGTCTGTTTGCTCCATGAGCCTCTTCCAGGTCTCCTTCTTGCAATCCATCCTGCTTCCTTCCTTCCCCATTCTCCTTTCCAGCTTCTTCTCCCTGCTCAGCTCAATTCTCCTTTTGGGTAGGGCAGGGAACCTGGAACCTCCCCTCATCCTGGGCACCACCCT